GCCAAGGACACTTCCGGAACGCGCGTGCTGGTGGAGGAGGCGGGGCGCCAGGTGGACGCCATGGTCCTCAGGAAGGCCAAAGACGACGGCAACCTTCTGGAATGCATTTCTGCCTTGGCTGAGCCGGAGACCCTCCCCAAGGGGAAGAAGGCTCCCGCGGGCCTTCTGGGAGGCTGGGGCGAGGAGGGGGAGGACGAGGTGGGCCTCCTGGAGCTGGTGGCGCTCCTGGCCGCCCAGGACTTGGCGGACGTGATGAAGGAGGAAAAGGAAGAGGCCTGGGCAGGTGGGAAGTGCAAATACCACAAGGGCGGCCTCGGGGAGGTCCTGGCGCTCCTGGCGGCGCGGAAGGACAGGGAGTCCGAGGAGCAGTCGGAGGGGGCTTCGGACGGGGGCTCCGACGAGGCGTCCGAGGACACGGACAGCGAGGAATCCGGGCCTGAGGACCGCGCGTCCCGGAAGCCCCGGGCCAAGCGAGCCCGCACGGCTTCCAAGGTCCTGGGTCAGGCGGGCGCCCCCTCCGGGTCCCGCAAAACCCGACGGGGAGGCCGAGGCCGGGGCGGGCGGGCCATCACTCCGGAGAAGAAAGCTAAGGATGAGGCGGCGGGCGACAAGAAGAAGAAGGGGCGCGCGGGCGCCGGAGCGCGCGCCAAGGCCGGCGAAGCCAGGGGGCAGCCACCTACCGGCTCCAAGAGTGTCCGCGGGAAGAAGGCGCGTAGGGGAGGGAGGCCGCCCCCCAAGTGCCACTAGTGGCTCCCTGAGACAGCGAGGCTGTGGCGGGCCATGTGGCCCCCGTCCCCCGCGCTCCCTCCGCCCTCCCCGCAGCAGAGGCCCTTCTGCCGCTTAACCGTGCGCTCTGTGCTCCGCGGTGCGCCAGGCGCGCACTGTGGGTCTCATCCTTGCCTTCCAGTCCCTCCTTTGCAGGTGGCTCGAGCGATCCTGATGGAAGAAGGAGAGAGAAACGGCCACCCCTGGAGGCAGCCGCCCCAAGTGATGGGACCGTGTCTCAAAGGGCACTGAGCGGGGGTGGCTTTGGGTGGCCCCCAGGTAGCGGGGGAAGGGGGTGAGTGTGTCCCTGACTCGAGCAGCGGCCAGACCAGCGGTGCCGGTTAGTTCTTTCTGGCTCTTCGTGGGGCCCCCAAGGTTCCAGTCCCATGCCTCTGGCCAGCGTCTGTCGACCCCCACCAATCGGATGGGGCCGGGGGTCTGTGATGGAGGCTTGGCCGCTAGCTCGCCAGTGCGTGTTAGGGGGAGCAGAGCTCCCGGCCTGGGGGCAGAAGTGATTCCAGAAAGACGAGCCTGAGGCCAAGGGGGCGGCTCCTCTGGGAGGGGGGGAGAGAAGAGGTGGGGGAAGCGTGGGGACGGGAATATCAGGAGCTGGAGAGGAGGAAGAGGGTGAGGAGGAGGAGGAGGAGGAGGAGGAGGAAGACAGGGCAGGTGCACTAGGCCTGCCCACCTCTGGCGCAGTTGCTACCGATGAATTAGCTCCTCAAGGTCAAGGCCACCTGCTGGAGTCCACAAGCTGAATCTGACTCTCAGATTGTACAGTGATTTCCAAAAATCCTAATTATTTGCCAACATTTTCAGCCGGAGCAACCCACATCCAGGTCACTGGCCTCTCTGCAGCTCCCGGCAGTGCCCCTCACCCAGGCATGCGGCTCTCTCCTCCCTCCCGGCAGCTGCTGCCTCCTCCCTCGGGCTGATCAGCCCCTCAGTGCAGGCTTCGCAGCCCCTAAAATGATAGGGTCTCCCAGTTCTCCGTCTGAGTGAATTAAATGCCAGAGGGGACCCTGAGGGTACACCGGAGGGGTGGGAGCTGGTCCCACCAGCGTAGGAGCTGACCAGGGTCCCGTGTTTAGAGGGGAGGAAATGTCCCCAAGAGGGAGCTGCAGTCAGCCTTCCTGGCGCCCCTCCCCCCACCACCTACCCAGCCTGGCGCAGTCAGGGTCAGCACCTGCTGCCGTGTCCCAAGTGCCAATGCTCTCGTGTCGTGCCCATGTGGTGACCTCTGCTTCGGCCCTCTCTGACCACCTCAGTGTTTCCCCTCAGCGTCGCTGGACACTCCTCCAAGCCCTCTGGTCCGGGGCTGTGTCCGTGTCCCAGTTCCCACACGTAGAAGGTGCCGAGCCCATCTGGTTACGAGGGTCCTCCCTGCAGGCCTTGAGGAAGACGCGGGGGGCTGGGCGTGTCCCCACAGCACCACCCGACTGTCCCAGACCCACTCAGATGCCCAGGTGCAGACGCAGGCTTGGGAGCTGCTTGCAGGGGGCACCACCCGACCACAGGGGCCTCCCCAGGGCAGAGACAGGGCTATTCAGGTCAGGGTGGGCGCGGGGCTGGGGAGGAAGCCTGGGGAGGAAGCCGGGTCTCCCTGGGGTCCGACGGGCTTCAGGGCCTGGTCTTGGGCTGAGCAGCTCCCGGAGGGGAGGTGTCCGGGCTGGGGAGGCCCCCAAGTGTGACTAACTTCTCCCTGTGGTATTTAGTACCCGCTCTTGTGCCCCGGCACCGGGGTCCCTCAGTAAAGTGAATTCAGTGTCTGGCCTGGTGTCTCTGTGCTCTGGGCAGTGGGGGAGGGGCGTCAGCAGTAAGTCAGGGCCACGGGTGCTCCACCTGTCACTTCCCAGGTTCAGGCAGGACACCCTGGGGCTGCACTGTCACTGACTGACACCCAGCGTCCCTTCTGCTTCAGTGACTGTGCCCCCACCCAGCCCCCTGACCTGACCCACCCACTTAAGCTCTCCCATGCCTTAGCCGCTACCTGCCCTGCCCCTGGCCTCCTGCCCCGGATGCCAGCCTCCGTGGTCCCCTGCCCTGTCCCTTGCTAGGCCTCAGCCCTTCACCATCTTTAGGTCTCTGCCACCAGACTCCCTTGCGGCCCCACTCAGGCCCAGGTTCTGAGGCCCCAGCCCTCACCCCTTATCCTGGGCCCCGGCGCTTCTCCCTGCCCAGGACCTGGGCTGGGCTTCCGCTCCATTCTCTAGCCCTCAGGTCAGTCTCCACCCGCCTGTGCCTCCCCCAGCTCCCTCCCTCCACCCCACTCAGGGCCCCACTCTGCGCTCAGCCCACGCAGCCCTCACTGGTGCTCACCCCGGCGCCGAGCTGGGCCCTTCTTCCTACGTTTTCTGTGGGCAACTCCCAGCTCCCACGCTGGAGCTCCGAGGCTCTGCCCTGGACCGCAGACCGGGAGCCTTCCCCTCCTCCCTGGGTCCCTGCCCTGCTCCCACACGCACCTACAGGGCTGCCAGAAGGGTCCTAGTCGGACTTATCTGGGGGTGATGGAGTCATGCCCCTTCCCGAACCCCTTACAGTCTTCCTGGGCACCCGCGGGCGGGGGCGAGCGCCCTTCCCAGGAACTTGGCAGGAGTCTGTCCTTCGCTTCGTGCGGGTCTTTCTTCAAACGTCACATCCCCAGGGAGGCGTCCCCCGCCACCCTATTACAAAGGTCACCCTTCCCGCCCACCCTCACCTTATTTTTCAGAGCTCCGATTGCCACCGGATACCCTGGTTTATTTCCAAATAACGCACTGACTGTTTGTCCGCGGGTGGGAGGTAAATAGCGGAAACCGACTCGGGTTTTGCAGGCATGGTACCCACAGGGGGCGGGCGGGTCGCCCGAAGGTTAGAAACGCAGCGAGCCGCTCCGGGCTCAGGGGAGGCTGCTGCCCGGAGCCCGGGTCGCTGGGCCGCAGGGTTCCACGCACAGAGCCCGTTGGCCTGAGAAGGGAGCCGGGGGGGGGGGCGGCTTGCGTCACCGCTGCTGCCGCCACCGCAGCCCCAGCGGCCTCCAGATGACGTCCCCTCCCCCCGCTGCCAACTGCCGCCGGTGCCCGGGGCCAGCAGCGCAGCTGGCGGAGGAATCGGGATGCAGCTGAGGCCGAGGGTCACGCGGTAGTGCCGGGTTTGGGGCGGGTGAGTGCGGTCCGTCCCGTCCCTCGCCGCGTCCCCGGCCCCAGCCCGGTGCCCGCACACAGTGGCTGCTGTTTTCAGCTATTGAATGACTGAGGGATCGGATGAAGCTCGAGGGCTTGGCGAACCGGACCCCGTTGTGAGCCCAGCGAGGCAGGTGCGGGGACGCTCCGGCCCGGCGGGAGGGAGCCTGGGCCCCACTGAGCGGCGCCTGGGGTCCCAGGGGCAGCGGCGTAAAGACCCTGAGATCCCACCCGCAGGGGCGGCGCGAGGAGCCCCAGGCCCTTTGGCAGCGGGTTTGCCCCCGCGGGGCCCGGAGTTGCCGGGGTCAGTGGGGCGCGGTCACGTCCACTCCGGTGAGAGAAGGAGGCGGTGTCCCGAGAGGAGGCGGAGGACCGGCGCGCGCTGGGCGCTGGGGCTGCAGCTGGGAGCAGGGTGGACACACGCAGACGCTCGCGGAGCATCGTGGGCGGGGCCGGGCGGAGGGATACTGAGTGCAGAAGGGCAGCCAGGGGTTCAGCCTTAGACCTCGGCGCCAGCGGGGAGGAGAAGCCGGCGGGCGGGGCCTGAGGGTGCGGGGCAGGAGGGTTTCCAGTCGCAACCTGTTTAAAGCTTTGCGGGGAAGCCCTCACTGGGAAGGTGGCACTAGATGCGGGGCGAGGCAGTGGACACCCGAGGGAAGCGCGCCCAGGGGCGGGAACAGGCGGTGCAAAAGGCCGGAGCCAGGGCTGTGATGCCCGGGGCTGAGTCACGTGTCATGACCGACGCCTCCGGAGCCAGACGTCAGTGCTGGGTTTAGGGGAGACGGTGTCTGCAAAACGGTCCACCGCCTTCATGGGGTGGCCGCGTAATTAGGTTTCCCATCACTGGTGCTTGGATGTGACCCTGTTGGAAAGGAGCGCGCAGAGTCACTGGGGTCGGGATGCGGGTCTGAACGCGGAGGGGCGAGAAGTGCCCTCCGCCTGCCCCGCACGGGCCGGGAAGATGAACTAGTCCTGGGAGACGGGGGCGCCCGAGATCTAGGGGTTGTGATCAGGTCCCAGAACGGCCCGGAGAAAGAAGTCAGGATTCCGGTAACAGAAAATGACATCCCTTCCTCTCCAACAGGTTCCCCAAAACATAGGTCCGCAAGGCCGCGGCTTTCTCCGTGCAGCCCGCGCCCCATCGCACAGGACGCCCCGCCCCCTACCCTTCGGCTGGCGGAGCGGCGTCCCTGACCCCAGTTGCCGCGTTCTATTTTCCCACCAGGGGGCGCTCCAAGACCGCTTTTAGGGTGAGCCCAAGGCGCCGCGGTGCGCTTTGGAAAGAAGGTTAAAGTCACGCAGACGCGGCCCAGTCTGACTCAAAGGTAGTGGGACACTGGCCCATCTCCTTGAAGCTCCAAGCTCCCCCTGTCCTTTGAACGCCAGTCTGTGGAGAGTGGACTGCCCTGTGGCGCAGTGGTCTGTCGAAGTGAGGCCAACTGCATCAACGTCTGGGAATTTCTTAGTCGCCTCTACAGGTCTATTGAATCAGGATCTGCTTCTTCCAGGTGCCTGAGTGAGTAATCTGGAAACATACCGCCATTTGTCCTGGGAATCCCACCCCAGAGTGAAACCTCTGTAACAAAGAGGCTGACTCCCTTATTTAAGGTGTGACCATAGACAACCTTAGGCCGCCCACCCCACATGTGGGGAGGCCATAGAAAAGCTAGCTTGCTCCGCCCCCTCCCCCACCCAGCGGGTGTGAGGGTCCGGCCTTGCCAACCTCCAGCCCCAGCCCTCAGACCACTATAAAGGGTCAATGCCCTCACTCTGATTTTGTCCTCACTCTGATTTTGTTCAGGCCACAGGGACTGGTTCGTGCCTGCCATAGTCTCTCCAGAAATAACCCAGCATGAGAGTACAACTTTTTTTTTAAAAGATTTTATTTATTTATCTTTAGAGAGGAAGGGAAGGAGAGTGGGAGAGAAATACCAATGTATGGTTGCCTCTGATGCGTCCCATGCTGGGAACTGGCCTGCAACCCAGGCATGTGCTCTGACTGGGAATCAAACCACGATCGTCTGGTTCGCAGGCCTGTGCTCAATCCACTGAGCTTCACCAGCCAGGGCGAGAGTACATCTTTCGATTCCTCCTTGGTGCATGCGGTGGAGTTATCAGTCTTGTCATCTCAGCCAATTTTGGGTGATCGGTTGGGCTGCCCAACCACAAAGTGACCTCGCTGTTACAACGGGGTGCTCATCCCGGAACCCGGCGCTGTCTGTACTAACTAGAGACTCACAAATTCGCTGGGTGTCAGAGCAGAGAGAGAGGGAACTGACCTTGAAGGCATTGGTTCTCAGAGCGCGTTTTCCCAGCTGCAGCGCCCGCTGGGACCCTCTTCCCTGCTGACTGGGGGATCCAGAAAAGGACAGTCGCTCTCAACTTCGGCGACAAGTTCCAGTCTCCTGGGGGGCATTAAAAAAACTGGGATGTTCTAGCTGCACCCTCTGGGAGTCTGAAGCTGGTGGTGGGTGGTGGGGCTGGGGCAGCAATCACTTTCAAGGCTCCCCAGTTGATTCTGATGTGCAGCCAGGGTTTGTAAACAAGGTTTACCCCAATCCTCCGCTGTCACAGGGAGGAAGCCGAGGCCAGATTGGGGAAGGAACTTCCTAGGATCACAGAGCAAATTGGCGACAGGGCGGAAGTAGAACCTAGGAGTCCTGAATCTCACTCAAAGCTTCATTATATATGGTGGCCCTGGACTCTGTAGTATTAGTAATAATACTACTAATAATTGGCCCTGGCTGGTGTGGCTTAGTGGATTGAGTGCCAGCCTGAGAACCAAAGAGTCGCTGGTTGAATTCCCAGTCAGGGCACATGGCTGGGTTGCAGGCCAGTTCCCCAGTAGGGGGCGTGAGAGAGGAAACCACACATTGATGGTTGTCTCTACCTCCTTTCCCCTCTGGAAAAGTAAATTAATATGTTTTTTAAATTGATTGCCCCGGGAGGACTGATATGACTTACTTTAAGTGTTTTCATAGTCTTTGAATTAAAACCAAAATTCTAACTTAAAAATTTTTTTATTTATATTTAGAGAGAGGGGAAGGGAGGGAGAAAGAGAGGGAGGGAAACATCAATGTGTGGTTGACTCTCGCACGCCCCCTACTGGGGACCTGGCCTGGCCCACAACCCAGGCATGTGCCCTGACTGGGAATTGAACCGCTGAGCCTTTGGTTTGCAGCCCACGCTCAATCCACTGAGCTACACCAGCCAGGGCCAAAATTCTAACCTTATGAAGCAAAATATCCTACAGTAAAAAATGGACTGTATATATGTGGCAGAGCTATGGGTGATTTCCCCATATTTACGGAGCATTTCCTATTGCAACCAGATGCAACTGTGCAGCCCTGATAAAGGGTATCTGTGTAAACAGCACCGGAGAAAACAAATGCTGCTGGGCTCAGGGGAGTGGAAGGGACACGGAGCATTTAATAAAAATGCTAGCTTTAGCCAGGAACAAAATTCACCGATGATTCATTTTCCCCTTCAACCTCTAAGCTGAAAACCTTCCTGGCAAGCGAGGGGTGGCCCCAGAAAGCAGCTGTGTTTGTGCATAAATCTCATTGCAGTGGGAACAAAATCTCTCTGTTTCAGGGTCACACGTATGTTTCTGCATTAGGTGACCCCTCTGTCCTAATGTCCTCCACACCCCATTTCCTCATTGAGGCTGAAATATATGATTTTTGTTCTTTCCCCATGACTTCGTCCAGGCCCACAAGACAGTCTCATCTCCCTCCATTACAAACCGTGGAGAGACCCTCTCATCCTCATGTTTATTAAAAAAAAATTATTGATTGATTTTTAGAGAGAGTGGAAGAGAGGGAGAAAAAGAAGGAGAGAAACATCAAGGTGTAGTTGCCTCTTGCGCATCCCAGCCAGGGACCTGGCCTGCAACCCAGGCATGTTGCGTTGCAGGGAATTGAACCAGTGCCCCTTTGGTTCCCAGGCCGGTGCTCAGTCCACTGAGCCACACCAGCCAGACACTGATTGGATTTGGTTTCCCAGTCATCTTGCTGCCAAGTTTCCATCCTCATGTAGGTATTTGTAACTTTGGTCCAACATGAATATACATTTAGAATTGAAAGACTACAATACACATCTTTTTAAAAAAAATAAGTAATAAATAAATAAGTATTTATTTATTTTTCTTTGGTTAAGGGCTTCAGACGAAAGGCAGAATTAGTCACCAGCCAAGACTATCCTGACCACACAACATTTTCCAGTTGCCAGGAGAACAAATGATCAGCTTCCATAACATGCATTCAGTTCACGAGTCTTTTTAAAATGCTCCCCGCCCCCTTCTCCCCACGCCGGGACCCCCCCCCCACGGGGATGCAAAAGCAACCATACACTGATGTTTCTCTCCCTCTCTCCTTCCCTTCCCCTCTAAAGATAAATAAATAAAATATTAAAAAAAAATGCTCCCCTTTCCTCAGGGTTCCCACTTCCATCTGCGGGACATTCTAGAAAATAGGTACAACATTTATTTCACTGCTATTCCCTGAGTGTGTGGCTTCTTTAAGAAATATGTATTTTAAAATACTTTATTTATTTATTTTTATTTTTATTATTTTAAAATATTTTATTTATTTATTTATCTTTAGAGGGGAAGGAGAGAGGAAGAGAAACATCAATGTATGGTTGCCTTTCGTGCATCCCCTGCTGGGAACTGGACTGCAGGGAACTGGTCCGCAACTCCGGCATGTGCCCTGACTGGGAATCGAACCGCGATCCTCTGGTTCTCAGGCCTGTGCTCAGTTCGCTGAGCTACACCAGCCAGGGCCTATTTTTATTATTTTTAAAAAATATTTTATTGATTATGCCATTACAGTTGTCCCATTTCCCCTCTTCATTCCCCTCCACCCGGCACACCCTACCCCCACCATTCCCCCCTTTAGTTTATGTCCGTGTGTCTCAAGTTCTTTAGATTCTATATTTCCCATAATATTCTTGCCCTCCCCCCTATATATTTTCTACCTGTAGTCTATGCTACTTATTCTCTGTACCTTCTCCCCCCTTCTCCTTCTCCCACTCCCCTGTTGCTAACCCTCCATGTAATCTCCATTTCTGTGGTTCTGCTCCTGATCTAGCTGTCCTCTTAGTTTGCTTTTGTTTTAGGTGTGGTTGTTAATAACTGTGAGCTTGCTGTCCTTTCACTGTTCATCTTTTTTATCTTCTTTTTCTTAGGTAAGTCCCTTTAATATTTCATATAATAGGGGCTTGGTGATGATGAACTCCCTGAATTTGATCTTATCTGAGAAGCACTTTATCTGTCCTTCCATTCTATTTGCTGGATAGAGCAATCTTGGATGTAGGTCTTTGGATTTTTCATGACTTGGAATACTTCTTTCCAGCCCCTTCTTGCCTGTGAGGTCTCTTTTGAGAAATCTGCAGACAGTCTGATGGGAGCTCCTTTGTAGGTGACTGTCCCCTTAGCTCTTGCTGCTTCTAGGATTCTCTCCTTCATTTTAATCTTGGCTAATGTAATGATGATGTGTCTTGGTGTCTTCCTTCTTGGGTCCAACTTCTTTGGGACTCTCTGAGCTTCCTGGATTTCCTGGAAGTCTATTGCCTTTGCCAGATTGGGGAAATTCTCCTTTATTATTTGTTCAAATAAGTTTTTCACTTTTGGCTGTTCATCTTCCCCTTCTGGTACCCCTATAATTTGGATGTTGGAGCATTTAAAGATGTCCTGGATGTTCCTAAGCCTCTCCTCATTTTTTTGAATTCTTGTTTCTTCATATTTTTCTGTTGGGTCATTTTTTTCCTTCCTTCTGGTCCACTCCATTGATTTGAGTCCCAGTTTCCTTTTCATCACTATTGGTTTCCTGTGCATTTCCCTTCATTTCAATTAGTTTAGCCTTCATATGTTCCTCTAATTTGTGTGTATAATCAACCAGTTCTGTGAGCATCCTGATCACCAGTGTTTTGAACTGTGCCTCTGATAGGTTTTCTATTTCTTGGTCACTTAGAGTTACTGGTTTGGGGGCTTTGAGTTCTTCTTGAGCCATGTTTTGGTCTGTTCGTTCCAGTTACCTATGAGGGGAGGAGCCTTAGGTGTTCACTAGGGCGGGGCAACCCAGGTTCCTGGGTTGTGATGCTGTACTTGGGGGCGGGGTCAGAGAGGGGCAATAGCGGTCCCCTCTGCTGTTTCCAGTCGCTGGGGCCTGCATGGACTGTTTCACTGCTCACATCACCACCTGGTTTATCTGCATGTGGATGTGTGACCTTGGTCAGCCTGCCACCTTGCGCCCTCACTGGGTCTGCCCATCCCAACCCCACGCCTGGGATCTGCCAACTGCCACCTGCGCGTGGGTCGATCTGACCGAGTTTTCCTGCGCAACCCCACTCTGCCAGTCACTGGCTCCGCCCCTCTTACCGGTCTGGCTGAAGAGTTTGTTGTTGGACTTCTGTATAGTTCAATTTTCTGTGTTTTGGTTGCGGTTTTTTTTTTTACTAAAACTTTGTTGTCTTTAAACTTGGTTGTGCAAGGAGGCACAGTGTTTCCACCTACAC